TATTGGAGGTGTGCTATCGTTAGGTACAACTATGATGTCATAGGGTAGAAGTTAGCCTCAATACATCATGTGGTTGTAAGAGGAAACGGAAGGGATCTTGTGTTACGGCGTGGTTGCTGCATTTTACCGTATCCTGTTTGCTGAGGTCGATGCTCAGCATGTCAGTCTCTGGATTGTCTCATCTAGACTATATCTACAGACCAACTTCACATAGCTTCACCCGTGAAGATCCGGGTTAGAATTGGTCCTCAACAACCCATTCAGCACGTTGGAATTCGCTTCCTGCACCCATCCACAGCCTCACAACATCTCCATCACACATGTCGATTATAAGAATACGCGTTGTATACTAACCAGCAGTTTACCCCTACCCCACATACGTCAGGTAACCTCCATCCGAGAACCGAGGTAATCATATCAATAGAGGAGATGTTTTACACCTGGGGTACAATTTCCCTCTACACCGCTCTTGACGACCGAGCCGAGAAGGTAGGTGTTGTGTGCTCGGAAACACAGAGACGATATTTCGTACCTCTGAAGGGCGGATATATTGATTTGAGAATAATTTTGGGTTCGAATGATGACATATCTGACGAAAAGTCACATAATATACACACGTTTAAAACGAGAAATTCCCTGTTTGTAGATTATACAATGTCAGTTATTTCTTATGCTTGTACTTTCGTTATTGAACTGGGTCATACAAGCGCCAAGCTCACTGTTGAGGTTGAAACAGGACATTTGTGTGCTAATGTAAATATCATAGAAAGGTGTAAATTGCCTTGAAATACTTATACGTGTGACATCTTAACACTCTGTTGGAATTACAGGGTCATAAATCCAAAATTTCAAGCCTCTTCTCAACCCGGAAGTTAGATATGCAATACTTTCGTTATGATAATGATACGAGCCTTGTGGTGACATGATGACGAAGTATGTGATAAAGTAACACTCTCTATACACCGAGGTGATGAAGTATGTGATAAAGTAACACTCTCTATACACAGAGGTGATGAAGTATGTGAAAAGTAACACTCTCCATACACAGAGGTGATGAAGTATGTGATAAAGTAACAGTCTCTATACACAGAGGTGATGAAGTATGTGATAAAGTAACACTCTGCATGCACAGAGGTGATGAAATATGTGATAAAGTAACACTTTCCATACACAGAGATGATGAAATATGTGATAAAGTAACACTCTCTATACACAGAGGTGACGAAGTATGTGATAAAGTAACACTCTCCATACACACTATCAGATGCAACTCTGTAATCGCTACGTGTTTCAAAGTAAACTCAGTAAGTCCTCCCGTGAATCCGGATTTAACACTGTGTTGGATAGAGCGTGTTACGTTTGTGAGTTCATTCACTAAAACTCTTCATGATTAGTAGGGTTGATTGATCGATCCATTTGTTTGTTTGTTTATTGGCTGAACAGCGAAACCCACGAGTACGGCTATGACGAAACCAAAACCATAATCAAGACCAATCTGGTGGGATTCCAACAATCATAGGTTACTGCCACGTCTAAGGGACGCAACTCTGCACGGCGAATCCTTACAGCCCCTAAACAATCAATGCTTCATGTCCTCTTTCAGATGGCTACCTCTCAGAAGCTGACGGAACATTACTTAACCTGTATCATCTGCTCCGGCGTCTTCAGTAATCCATGTACACTTGTGTGTAATCACACCTTCTGTCGGAAATGTATCGTCAACTACACCAAAACCAGACCAGAAGCTATCAGTGCTAAGTCCCTCCTGTGTCCATTCTGCAGCAAGATGACGAAAGTGTCTGCCCCTGACAGACCCGTGGAGAAGTGGGCGGATGACGTCAAACCTATCTTTCTCATCCAGGGACTCTTGGACTCGTTTGGTCCGGGATCTAAAGGTAGACACGTGTTAAATACCTCCGTATCATAATGACTCAGAAGTATAGGCTATTTCACCACAATGACTTCAAATAACAGAATGTGAGATAAAAATATGTATCTGTATTTCCAAGCATCATGATAATTTCAGTGTTTTTCAGTGGCAACATAACAAATATTATTTGTGTTAGGTATTTTGTACAATCTGTCATCGATACACCAGTGTACTGAACGTTAAACACCTACAACGTACAACCTCATCTTTCAGATACAACCTGCTGCAGCTATTGTAAAGAGGAAGGGGAGACAACTCCTGCCACTGTTTGGTGCTATGTGTGTGATGATGCGTTATGTGGGAGATGCGTCAGAGTTCACAACCGCATCCCATCAGCTCGTCACCACGATGTCACTGACCTGTTCGGGGAGGTCAAGATCAAACGAAGGCGGGTGGTCATGTGTAAAGAACACAAGGATGAAAGTGTTCAGTTGTTGTGTAAAGATTGCGGGAAAGCTGTTTGCCAAACCTGTTGTACCATCTACCACAGGCAGTGTGTCTCTGTGGTCAGCTTGGAATCAGAGATGCAGGCAATGAAAGCAGCACTGACGCGGGCGACGGGCAATTTGTCACAGAGAAAGGAGAAAATCCACAAAGAGATTGAGACAAAGAAATCCAAGGTTGAAGACGAAACATTTCGATTTAAAGAAATGAAATCACATATTAACTCTGAAACTGTCAAGGCGATACAACAGATTAAACTCAAGAAACGGAGACTTCTAAATGAACTGAAAGAGATGTCAGACAAATACATCGGACAAATGAAAGCAGACATAAAGTCAGGTGAGATGTCAGTACAGATGTACCAACAACAGACGGAGCTGATAGACCAGGCTCTACAATCGGAGTGTGACATGGATGTGTATGAGATGTATCAGGGATGTGAGACCGGTGATGTGGAGGCTGTCGGAGACGCTGACCTGAAGGAGGGAGGAAGAATAGCCAGTGTCACATTCCGACAGGACACAGACAAGCTGAGTAAAGCACTGAACGATCTACAGGTGGGTGAGATAGAGGTCCTGTATGAGAGTGTGCTGGACCTGAAGGCTACTCCTGTGTTACACGACACCATTGACGTCAAAGTGGCAGGCGATACACGTACAGTGTGGCCTACTGGAGTGACAGTGGAGGTGGTGGGTGGTAGAGACACCGACTACAACAACAGGAGTGTGAAGTCCTTCTACACCAGCAACAATCAGCCAGGCCACAGTAAGCTCCTGGTTGATGAAGATCCCTATGATATTACGAAGTTGACACACGATCGGGTAGCTGTCACTGTACCAAACACCAAACAGATTGTAACAGTAAAAGTCAAACCAGACCTGGAGTTACAGACAACCATCACAACCAGCAAACAGTATATGGGTATAACGTCCCTGACTCCATCAACACTAGCAGCTAGTTCCCACTCTCCTCCCTGTGTTGATATCCTGGATATGACAGGAAACGTGCTGAGGTCTATCAGTCCACGTCATAAAGGTAACAACATCTTACAGGATCCCAACTTCCTCAGTACCACGAGGACAGGTAACACACTGGTGTCTGACATAGGAACCAAGTGTATCGTGTGTCTGACCCCCGAGGGAGATGTGGTGTTCAACTACAGACCTACAGGAGACACAGCACTGATGTATCCTCGGGGTATCACAAGTACCGGCACAGGCGGCATCCTGGTTACAGACTACAGTCTACACAGAGTCATCCATCGGACTGAGTCAGGACAGTTTGTACAAAATCTGCTGACATCCAAGGACTTTATTCAGAGTCCACGTGGACTGTGTATAGATGAGAGAGGGTGGCTGCGTGTTTGTCTTCTCAAAGGTGTCATACAGACGTTCTCGTGTAAATAGAGAAATACCGATGAGCTGCTGCTACATGTCAGGACATTCTGGTAGAAACATATAGACAGAAGATGATAGTGTTGTGCTGCTACATGTCAGGACATTGTGGTAGGAACATACTGACAGATGATGGTAGTGTTGTGCTGCTACATGTCAGGACATTACGGTAGGAACATACAGACAGATGATGGTAGTGTTGTGCTGTTACATGTTAGGACATTCTGGTAGAAACAGACAGACAGAAGATGGTAGTGTTGTGCTGCTACATGTCAGGACATTCTGGTAGAAACATACAGACAGAAGATGGTAGTGTTGTGCTCCTACATATCAGGACATTCTGGTAGGAACATACAGACAGATGATGGTAGTGTTGTGCTGCTACATATCAGGACATTCTGGTAGGAACATACAGACAGATGGTAGTAGTGTTGTGCTGCTACATATCTGGACATTCTGGTAGAAACATACAGACAGATGATGGTAGTGTTGTGCTGCTGCATATCAGGACATTCTGGTAGGAACATACAGACAGATGATGGTAGTGTTGTGCTGCTACATATCTGGACATTCTTGTAGGAACATACAGACAGATGATGGTAGTGTTGTGCTGCTACATGTCAGGACATTCTGGTAGGAAAGTACAGACAGATGATGGTAGTGTTGTGCTCCTATATGTCAGGACCTTCTGGTAGGAACATACAGACAGATGATGGTAGTGTTGTGCTGCTACATGTCAGGACATTCTGGTAGGAACATATAGACAGATGATGGTAGTGTTGTGCTGCTACATATCAGGACATTCTGGTAGGAACATACAGCCAGATGATGGTAGTGTTGTGCTGCTACATGTCAGGACATTCTGGTTGAAACATACAGACAGATGATGGTAGTGTTGTGCTGCTACATGTCAGGTGATTTTTGTAGGAACATACAGACAGATGATGGTAGTGTTGTGCTGCTACATGTCAGGACATTCTGGTAGGAACATACTGACAGATGATGGTAGTGTTGTGCTGCTACATGTCAGGACATTCTGGTAGGAACATACTGACAGATGATGGTAGTGTTGTGATGTTACATGTCAGGACATTCTGGTAGAAACATATAGACAGAAGATGGTAGTGTTGTGCTGCTACATGTCAGGACATTCTGGCAGGAACATACTGACAGAAGATGGTAGTGTTGTGCTGCTACATGTCAGGACATTCTGGTAAAAACATATAGACAGATGATGGTAGTGTTGTGCTCCTACATGTCAGGACATTCTGGTAGAAACATATAGACAGAAGATGGTAGAGTTGTGCTGCTACATGTCAGGACATTCTGGTAGAAACATATAGACAGATGATGGTAGTGTTGAGCTGATACATGTCAGGACATTCTGGTAGGTATATACTGACAGAAGATGGTAGTGTTGTGCTGTTACATGTCAGGACATTCTGGTAGAAACATATAGACAGAAGATGGTAGTGTTGTGCTCCTACATGTCAGGACATTCTGGTAGAAACATATAGACAGATGGTGGTATTGTTGTGCTGTTACATGTCAGGACATTCTGGTAGGAACATACAGACAGATAATGGTAGTGTTGTGCTCCTACATGTCAGGACATTCTGGTAGGAACATACAGACAGATGATGGTAGTGTTGTGCTGCTACTTGTCAGGACATTCTGGTAGAAACATACAGACAGATGATGGTAGTGTTATGCTACTACATGTCAGGACATTCTGGTAGAAACATACAGACAGAAGATGGTAGTGTTGTGGGTGTGTCCTCTTGTCTGTCTACAACAAGGTTTATCTAGTTGTCCTTATTGTCACGAAACATCACAAAGTAACTCCTATGTGACGGTGACATGTAGTCAGACCATACAATCAAGTGATGAAGCTGTCACACGTGTATTTACTTATTTTGTTGAAACTGAAAGCGACGGCTGCTGTGTACAGATGTAAAACGTCTGAAAAGAAATAGAAACGTAATACATGTGTAGTGATTTGTATCAATCTGTAAACTTGGTTCATGTAAGAATACTCTGCTTTGTTGTACATTGGTTTCCCATCGAGTTCATTTAGGAACCTGGGCGGTGGGGTAGCTTTGTGGTTAAAGCATTCGTTAGGTACGCAGAAGATCAGGGTTCGATTCCACGTGTGAAGCCCATTTCTGGTGATCCCCGTCGTGATATTGCTAAAAGCGGCGTAAAACTAAACTCACTCATTTTTATTAACCAATCTAAGGGTAACTACTGCCACAATCAATCTATCAGATAGCTTGGATAATTCTGGGCGCGGCATGAAACATGAAACAAACAATATCTAAACCAGTCGGTCACCTCCCTACACAAAACATTGCGTAGCCTCCACCTCACATACGTCATAGACCCTTACGTAGTTGAGTGGACAGAGCGTCTGCCTAGAGAGGGTGGGAGGTTCGATCCCCGGTCGCGTCTTACCAGGTTAAAAGATGGTACCAGTTGGTACCCTTAGGAACGCTCGGCATTGATAACAACCAAAGACTGGTTGGTTCGGAGTCAGTGTGATGTGAATGAGTAGGGAGATGGTCTCTCCGTGGGCTACTGCTACAACGTTGCTGCCAGTGTCGTTGTCACTGTTGTTGTCAATGTCCATGGACATGTTGTAGTCCATGTTGTGATGTCGTTTTCCACGATGGTGTCCATGTTGTTGTCCACGTTGTTTACCATGTGGTCAAGGGCAGTGACGGCAGAGTGAGTGACACACTGTCTAAAACCCACACAAGACAACCGACATCGTCGCCGGATCAAGAGTTGGAGAAACACAACAAACAACGGTGTTTATATCAACTGTTGTACTGAATAATATAACTCCAAGATTGAGACAGTCGTATGTACAGAATGCATCCATTGAATGATACAAAATGCTGCTGTCTTGCATAAACTCTTTCAGGTGGTGTCTGCTGCTAAAATAGATTTCGCCTCATGTTAAACATCTATAATTCGCTTGACACCACTTCCAAGCTCGTTATTGGTTATGTATTCTTGGAAAGTGATTGACGAAACAGTTCCCCATTATTGTACGATATATGACAAAACGTTACGTTCATTTACAGAAACAATATTATTGAAATCTACAGGGAATGTTTAAACTAGTAAAGCTATTTCACCAACGATTTAGTATATTAGTGCGTACCATCCTCGACAATCAGGGACATAACGTTCCACCGATAATAAATATTTACTATACTGCCCATCAAAAGTTTAGACTCACTAGTGTAAATGTAGCCATTTTCTTAAGTCAACTGTTCTAAACTAGATTTTGCAAAACGTTCCATACTGTTTAAAGGTACTGTTTACACATGTATTGATGTATTGTAAAACACATTTGTAACGTTGAATAGTTGTGCTGGCGTCAACAAATGGTCAAGTAAAAGTATCGGAAATCCAAAGGTTACATTTACTGAGAATAATTTATTAATAACACCAAACCATCTTACAAAAAGACAAGAACTTGTATCCAGGAAGACTACAATAAATGCACATTCTGTACCAAGGACATTGTCAGCTAAATCATTTACACAGCGTCAGAATCAACTAAACACCATCAATGGTCACTAAATAGTACGTAGCGGCATTCGTTTGTGGAGTCTTAACACAAGATCTATGTATGATCCACACAACAATCCATGTAAGATCCACATAACAATCCATGTATGATCCACACACCAATCCATATGTGATCCACACAACAATCCATGTATGATCCAAATAACAATCCATGTATGATCCACACAAAAATCCTTGTGTGATCTAGACAACAATCCATGTATCATCCACACAACAATCCATGTGTGATCCACACAACAATCAATGTATGATCCACACAACAATCCATGTATGATCCACACAACAATCCAAGTATGATCCACACAACAATCCTTGTGTGATCCACACAACAATCCATGTATGATCCACACAACAATCCATGTGTGATCCACACAACAATCTATGTATGATCCACATACCAATCAATGTATGATCCACACAACAATCGATGTATGATCTACATAACAATCCATGTATGATTCACACAACAATTCATGTATGATCCACACAACAATCCATGTATGATCCACACAACAATCCATTGTATGATCCACACAGCAGTCAATGTATGATCCTCATAACAATTCCATGTATGATCCACACAACAATCCATGTATGATCCACACAACAATCCATTGTGTGATCCACACAACAATCCATGTATGATCCACACAACAATCCATGTGTGATCCACACAACAAGCCATGTATGATCCACACAACAATCTATGTATGATCCACATACCAATCCATGCATGATCCACACAACAATCAATGTATGATCCACACAACAATCCATGTATGATCCACATACCAATCCATGTATGATCCACACAACAATCTATGTATGATCCACATACCAATCAGTGTGTGATCCACATACCAATCCATGTGTGATCCACACAACAATCCATGTATGATCCACACAACAATCCATGTATGATCCACACAACAATCCATGTATGAACCACACAACAATCCATACAATAACTGTTACAGATATAACAGTAACCATCTTAACGTTTTTCAAATTCGTGGTCGATGGTCCTTGGTCCTCCTGCACAAACGACCACAGTTTTAGGACAATGATTCGCAGAACGCAATCCCATGGTATTCAGATATTTTACTTTTATTCCACACCGGTATTCCACACCAAATCGGTTTATAAGGGTCGTAACTGCAGTGCTTAGCTCACTTTGTGCGACCGGGCCCAGGGTATCTGTGATGTTTCTGCCTGTCCAGACTTCAGCGGTATATCGTAGCACTTAAGAAATCACTTTTCATGACGCGATGTGGAACACTCACGTTAAAGGACGTTGGGGATGCTGGATGCACCAGTGTCGACGCTGTTACGTCATTTGAAGACGTGGTTGTGGCGTTCACGGTGCCAGCCTTTAATCGATACTGTGAATTGAATGTTCTTACATGGACAGCTGATATCTTCAACAAACACAATCGCAGTAGGAAAATATATTCCATTGGATCTTGTGAATTCAATCCTTGTGGAATTTACGGGTGCAAATTCAAATATCGATGAAAGCATTGCAGCTGTCTCTGTGCACGCCACTATCAATAGCATTCATTCAAATCAGTCGAGTCCAATAGGCATTGAGGTATCTTTCGTTCAAGCACTAAAAATCGGACAGTTTCTACATGTTGCCTTGACTGGCACGCATGTCGTTCCTCCCCTTGCCAAGCAGCAAGAGAAACCTTCTCTGGTTGCCGGAGTTATCTCCCATGTTTGCATGACTACAAGGTCGTGACCTTACCACCCTGGTTGCTGTTGCTGCGATGTCAGAAGGTTGTTGGTGTTATCGTCTGCTGAGACGCGTCATGTTGTGCACGTGCTGCTCGAGCTCTGCAGGGTGGCGGTGCACGTGCACCCCTTGTTTGGGCATGGGTCTGGCTGTTGAGGACATACCTCCTCGTGTTTGCTTACAGTCTCCAGATTGCCGATGTGTTCACACCCCTTTGCGGAAATTCTTACACTGGACGCTCAACCTGACAAGATCGTTTTTCATGTACCGGAACAAGGGGCGTTAGTTTGACGGACGTAATGGATGGCGGTCTTTGGACAGGAAGTGCACGAGCCAGCCGAGATAGCACTTTACGACAAAACGCGTGTTCAAAAGGTGCTTGCTGGGGTCTTCTAGGACGTCACGACACACACAGCAAAGCAGGCCTTTGTTCATTTTACCTACGAAGCGATCCACGTCATAGCCCATTGTCCGCAGCTCCACACACTGCGGTTGAGGCGGCATACTGCGAGGGTCTGGAAAAAGAGGTTTCGTAATCAAACATATTGGCCGTCAAATTCATTAGTCTAAAAGCAAGATGAATTATCATACAATTATTTATAAAAAACGCGAATGTGAACGTACTAACTTGAGACAAAACAATCTCGTTCTTGAAAGGCATTTAGAAGTTGGACGAAAATGAATACATGATACGTTTCAGAGCTAATTCTTGCTTCTTTCGTAGGTGACTTTAATCAGCTGTTAAAAAAAGAATTAGCTCAGAAATCGTCAAAAGAATAAAAATAATTTGTTATCCATAAAACGTGTCATGTATTCCTGCAAATTTTGTTCAGCCAGAATTGCCCGCCCTAAGGACACCAACTGGTTGTGTCCTAATGAACGCCACAGGATCGTGTTATTCCAAACACTGCCCAGCTTGTGCACAAATTGATTATGTTTAATGGAGTAAATCACATTGCTCTGGTGACGGCTCGACGTCACGTGACAAATGTCAGCGTAAGAAAGCCTGTGTATATGAAGTTGTCACGAGGCTGTGTATCACGTATCTCACGTGACAGTGTCGGCTTCACAGCTAAAAACACCAGGATGTCTGCTGCAGCTGCTATGATGGACTCTCACTGACGATGTAATTATTTCGTTACACCTACAAACCTACGTCTAACAACTGCATTACTTCGGGTTTCCCTCCCCTATAACGCCAACAGGACCTGATATAACATAAACAAATCAGATTTACAATGAGTAGAATATCTCCACTCGGGATTTACTCCGAATGTCGAATAATGTCAAAATGACTTCTGCTCTATCTTATCTAATTAGGTGAAGACTTTACAACAGATACGACAGGTAGTTTCATGTTGCAATCAGAGAAACCTATCTTGAGTGCTGACATTTTAAATATCCTCTTTCACGTTGACATTTCTCATTCTCGTTGTGTGTTATAGGTATCTGCAGATCGCATGCAATATTTGATATATTCGCTAATGTAAACACGCATGTTTAGCAGAAAGTGACTGGGTGAGTGAGAGATTAAATGAGTGAGTGAGTGAGTGAGGTTTTGCACCACATTTAGCGATGTTCCGGCAATGTCAAGGAGGGACACTAGCGATGCTCTTTAAACATTATACACGTGAAAGAAAGCACTCTACACTCGTGCGAAGGGTCACATAATCCCGGGATTCTGAAGGTCATACGCT